AGAGAGAGAGAGAGAGAGACAGATCCAGATTTTTAATGGATCCGCACCAAATATTTCACACGCTCATAAACATCATTCTTTCATCGTGATCCATGAATTATTCTCTGAGGAATCAAGTGAAATCTCAGGATGTGACAGAAAGTGGAGAACATTTCCTGGATCTGCTCCAAAATGTCTTAATGTCTCAATTCTGTTATTTTCATTATTTCCTCCAGAGCGAAAAACACACAACGAGGTCACTGTCGTGCACGGCAGACAAATTACAGCTGCGTATAAATACACGGCATCGATATTTCACTTTTATGAGAATATTTTCCAGCAGAGCCACGGGGGATTAAAAATGTCCATACAGCACAATAAGGTCACGGTATCCTCACCGGAGTTCCACTACGAGACCCTGGAGGGAAATCAGAGGAACTTTTCAATTTTCTACGAGTATTTTGTGCCCAAGGTCACTGGAGAGTCACTTTATTTATGAAATATTGTAATAAACTGGTCCATTAAGTCACATTTACAGGGATCCTGTCACCAGAGTTTATACGATCAGTGTTTAAAGTTTTATTTACCTACTTGTTTATTCTACGAAACGTGTTGAAGCAATCTTCAAGACAGAATGTCTCTTGTAGGAGACGTCGCAGTGAGAGTGTCTGATGCAAACTACTCACTTGTAAAGACAGAAATGAATCAACAGAAAAACTGTGTCTCCCACTGTCCGATCACATCCTGTGTAACCAGACCTTCTTAATGTTTCAGCTTCTCGTGCTTTGATTAAACCAAACTGTTTCTGGAACGATGTCCTAAAAGTCTGAAGCAACGAGTTCTGGGTCTGGATCAAACTGAACCAAGGTTCTGTTCGGTTCCAGAGAGAAAACACTTTGGACTTTTGGACCAATCACAGGAAGTAGGGACAGCATTGAACACGAGAAGAGGAAAAAGAAGAGGAAGCAGCTGCAGTCTTTACCTCCGACGTTATGAAAGACGAGCACGTTCACTTTGCTGCTAAGAAAACTGATGATATTACAAACGACATCAACAAAGTGAGACTCTGCACTTTTAAAAGATGGCGAACACAAGCAGAACTGAAACACGCTTCACGAGTTCCGTCATCGTCCGTCCGGTCGTCTTTGTTCAATCCTGACAGGTATCGGACAGAAGTCGGGTTTTGTCCCGTGAAGCCGAGTGAACTGTTGTTCGTGAGTTTCTTTATTTTATAATAAACCTGGAGACAGTTTCAAGAGCTCGTCCCTCGCCTCCAGATTCTGTCCGTTCAGGTGAATAATCTGTTCACGGAGACAGAGGACAGACAAAACGTCCTCATCAGAGATAATCAGAGATGTATTCTGTCTCTGCAGCTCCCTGCTCTCTGTTGTCTCACAGCTCGCCTCGTCCTGCGGCTGCCATGCTCTGTTATGTAATCTGAAGGAGGAAGAGGAGGCGGAAGAGGAGGAGGAAGAGGAGGCGGGTCTGGACCCTCTCAGCTTCTTCCTCCTCGTCCTCCTGCTCTCACCCTCCTCTTCAACACGTCGCTGCATCACTCGTCTCCATCACAAACCAGTGGGGGAATATCGAGTGTCGGCTATTTATAGAGTCCGTGCATGAGAGATTTTAATGTGTACAGTCACCACACACACACACACACACACACACACACA